GTTGGAAGTCTGGCAAGGGATATTCCTGGACGGACATGGAGGAAAGGTCGTATCACAAGATCCTGAGAGCGACTCGGGGCTGCTGGGCCTGCTGGCGGGCTCAGACTGGAACGCGCTGGAACAGGCCCTGGAAGCCCTGGAAGGCCGCCTCCCTCCAGCCATTCAATCTACTCCCGGTTAATGAGGTCGCGCCTACAATGGCCAGTTAAGACAACACCGCCAACTTGGTGGCCTGCGGCGCCTGTGGTCCCCCCACCCCACCCGTCCCCACCCGAAACACAATCGCAAGGAAACCCTCCACAAAGTGGAAATCTACGATTTTGGCTTCGAAGGGAGTTTGGTGGCCACCACGGCCTAGGAACAGAGACAATGGCAGTGACACCTTCACCTTCCTGTTATCTTAAATAACTCTGTTTCGAGATATAGTAAACAAGATAAAGGGTGTCAGCAGTGCTTCATCAATGATGATTATTTAAAGTATAATCTTTTGGCGGTAGGTTCTGTTCTTGTTAAAGAAAACAAGTGTTCTTAGCTCTTTTAAAAGCCGCTTTGAAACTTTACTGTCAAGTCAAGCCATTTACTATTGTACTTTGTTTCTAATCGGTGCCCGACTTACCACTGTTCGCTTAGTATAGGTTAAAGGGATGCACAACATTGACAGTTGCGAGATGCGGTGGGGTGTTCCAAGAGAGACCGCAACAGAGTTGCCCTGCCCCGCCCCCGCCCTGGCCTGCCCTGCGGCCACGCCGGGAAGAAGCGGTCCATTCTGACCCCTCGCCGCAGCCCCCTCTCGCCCTCCCCCCTCCGCCCCTTTTCTTTGATGTGGCGAAAATCGACTTCCATGCGGTATTTGGCTATGCTCCGCCGTGCTGCTCCCGGGCCGCCCACAGGCGCTGGTGCTGCTGGACCCCCACGCCCCACCCCGCCACACTACGCCACGCCACGCCGCCATCACTTTGATCCCTAACAGGGGGAGATTAATGAACAGCGGTCCTGCTTTATTAGCTTATCGCCCGATAAAAAGGCTAATGGAGGGAAGGAGCGCGACAGGCGCCTCTCCTTGGCAGGCGCCCCACGATCGTCTCAGCCATTTCGATGAGTTGCAAAGTTTTTGTGTATTTTGATTTATTTTTGTCACTTCGGCAATGTAATGTTTTACACCTATTTTTTCTAACCAAATTGCCTTCATGGAGCATTTTCTTTCATTTTCCTTGATTTTTTGTCAGCGACATTTGACCGATTGACCGACACGCGGTCAGGTTTAGTCCGGCTCTACGCTGTGTGTTTTGATTTACCCGAGTGTCGTGCCCGAGTGAGCCGAGCCGACCGCACCCTGTGTGTCGCCACACAGTGTACGGATGGCGAGTCCAAACAAACCGTCGTGGTCCCGTGGTGCTGAAAGGTGCGCAGCAGCAGCCGCACCAACCGCAGCGCAGAGTGCCGAGATTGCTCTCTAAATCTGGCCGCGAAATCCTTCTCAAATATTGTCTCTCTCTGTCTCTCGCGCCTCCGGTGCGCTGACGAGGGGCTGCCTGCGCTCTGGCGGCACCGCCTCCGACTCCCTGACATTTCCCTGTTGCCGTCGCCGGGACCGGTAGGGACCGCGCCAGCTGCCAGAGCGAGCTGCACAGACGTAATGGAATTTAGTTTATTTTTACGCTCCTCTCCCCCTCTCTGCCTGCCTCGGTTTCCCGCTTTCGGCCCGACATCCAGGAAACTACGACAGGCTCGTCCTTCGCACTGCTCGCGCTGATTTACTGTGGGTACTTCTATTACTACTTCAATGAGGACTTACGACTGTATTAAGAATAAGAATGATCATAATCACCGTGAAAAATATGCTTGTACACGTACGTTATATTTTGTTACTTTCCAATAACAATATGTCGCACCATATGTACCGGGTGATAGGGAGTAGATGTAGATGCAGGTGCGGTCGGGTTTGCCCTCCTAAGGAGCCATGACGCCTGACGGGCAGAGCAAGTAATCAAACCCGCTCGCAAACTCGTCTTTCTCTGAGTCAACCGGTACAACCTTCCACTCTTGCCCGTCATTCGATTCCAAGTCGATGTAAGCAGGGCTTGTTAATTTACAATTTTGAATTGTAACTGTAGGACATCTTCCATGGAAAATTTCCCTATACCCGGTACGACAAATTTTCAGAGTAATCATAATCATAATCGTCATAGTTGTACTAATTTGACTAATTTATCTCACTGCGAAAGAAGCTCGCCAGGCGAGGCGCGCCCGTATATAGGCGGTGCTCTCGCCGTGTTTGCGTTAATTAATGAGATGGAGACGTCTGTGCTCCGCTGCGGTGGGGCGATGCTGCCCGCCCCGCTGTGTGCTGCAACCCCGCCCCCCGCCGCCCCACCTTTCCTCCGGGCAAACGGCTGCTAAAACTTTATCCCCCCACGCGCGTGTGGGTGGGAGTCGCAGCCAGGGCCAGCCAGGGCCAGCCAGAGCCAGCCAGAGCCAGCCAGAGCCAGCCAGAGCCAACCAGAGCCAGCCAGAGCCAGCCAGAGCCAACCAGAGCCAGCCAGGAGCCAGAGACAGCCGGAGCAAGCAAGAGCCAGCCAGAGCCAGCCAGAGCCAGCCAGCCAGAGACAGCCGGAGCCATGGCACGCAGGGGTTGTGCTTGTCCACCGCGGTGGCGCTGCCGCCTGACTGCGTCTGCGTGCGCACACACACGGGGCTGTGCGCGCCGCTCAATCAGCTGGAAAACAACCTGTGTGATCAGCGCACGGCTCGCCACCTGCTACACCTGCAATTAGTGTTGCACTAACGCAACAAGCAGCCGCTCTGCAAATCTACCCCGTCAATTCAAATGCGTACATTGTATACTTTAAATTAAGTGTACATGGCATGTATACGTTTTTATATTTTACGCTCTTAAAAATGCGTAATAATTAAAGTATATATACTATATGTATACATGCCATGTACACTTTCTTTAAAGTATACACATCTTGTGCTACACGCGATGCAGAGAGGGTTTTCCACATCGTGGATCTGCACGGCACTGAGATGTGCGGAGGAGGGCGCTGACATATTTCAAGGAGACGCACAAATAAAAATAACAAAATAACAAAGCCTCCGGATCACCTTGAACGACGCGACACCGACACACTGCTGCCGTGGACGGATCGGATTGACGTCATAATCACATGATTCAGGCGATTCAGGCGTGCGCGCCCGAGGCCCACCATGTCGGGCTGATGCCGGGCCGATGTCCCGCCGCGCGCTGCGTCATGAGGAGGGTAAAGGTCATCGCATCACCGCACCGGATGCACGCCACGCGACGCCACGCCGTCGGCACTGGGGGATAAAACTCGTGCCAGAGATCCCAAGAAGACAGCAATGACATTATTTGGAAATGCTCTCATCGTGACCGTTTTCAGCTTTTACGACTATTTCAGCTCCGATGCGATGATGGGCCTGGTTGAACTATACATCATCCCGACCTTTTTTTTTAATTTGATGACATGTTGAGATTTGACTGGTCACCTTCGGAATAATGTTGTAAGATGTTTCCATATTTACAAAGACAAATCTACATTTGGATAAAAGCATTATTCGATGTATCACAAATATTACCCCACTGTTTAGACTCTGCTGCTGAGGCTCCCCTCCCCCCCGTTTCGCGCGGCCGCAAATACAAATAACGGACGAATGACGGAGCAAGGCTTGGGTTTAATCAATTAACCGGGCCGCTGCTTGGGCGGGGCGGAGCCGGGCGGGGCGCGGTGTGATTCTGTTCATCCACATGCCGAGGCAGCCCCCGGGGCGGCGCAGACAGGAAATTGATTGGGTTCAGGCTGAGTGGGACGGGAGGGGGCTCGCTAAGTGGCTACGCCAGGCTACGCCGGGGTCCTGCGCGCCTCGCCCTCGTCTTCTTCCGTACGCTACGCCACGCCACGGCCACGCCACACCCGGACCACCTCCCGGGCCGCTAATTCACGGGACGCCGCCCCTGTCGTCTGCAATTTTATGCAAATACTGCAATTCATTTTCGTTTCCTTATTCCCGGCGCCGGCGGCGGCGGCAGCGGGACCGCGAGGTGATTTAATTTAAAAGGGAGTTCCTTCTTTTTATGGGGGGATGAAAGGTAAAATCACGCCGTGCTGCGGAGCAGCCATAGCCACCCGGCAGACGCAAAGGAGACAAAAAGAACCGCCTAATTTTCCTTGCCCTCGTCACTCACGCGTCAGGCACATGTCCGGGTCCTTCAACACCCGCAGCATATTATTGTTAGACGCGTATTTACTTTTAGCACGATGAGAGTTTCTGACTGAGCTGCTGCCTATGAGCTGCTGGCTATGAGCTGCTGGCTGAGCTTCTGGCTGAGCTGCTGGCTGAGCTGTTGGCTGAGCTGCTGGCCATGAACTGCAAGGCTGAGCTGCTGGCTGAGCTGAAGTCTCTCCCCGCCTGAGGGCCGCATTCATTATGAACACGCTGTTTATCACCCGCGTGCGGTATATGGCGTGGCGAGCGCCCCACAGAAAGCCCCCCCGAGTGAGCTCCCGAAAGCCCCCTCGGTGGCAGCGGCTGGGCCGCACCCCTCTCTGTGGATGGAAGGCCGAACCCCTAAAGCGAGCCCCCCTCCCCCTTCCCCCTCCCTTCCGAACCCACCGCCACACCCTGCCTTACAGGAGCCCAACGCACGCGGCCGGGCGGGCAAAATTAATTGTTATTCAAATCGGGGAACAATATTAAAGCGCGGTGGGGGCGTGGTTATTGCGCAATGGTCCACCGATGTGACCATTGACCCAGGGAAGGAGGGGAGGGGAAAGAGGGGGTGGGCGCTCCCTGCGCTGCCTGCCCGCCTTTGCCACATCCTACGAGGTAGGCCACAGGGCCTCTCAGCTGATAGGCGGGCTTGCCTACTCGCAGTATGGCAGGCGCCCTACGACGACCTGTCGCTACGTTTGGTCATTTGTAATGATCGATACATGTACGACTCAAACACACTGACACTTTTTTTTCCTTTTTCATTGCAGAGTGCCCACCCGCCGACGACGGCATGGAGAGGTTCGCCTGTCCGACTCCCGACCACATGGGGCGGTACCGGTGTATCGACGACCACGTGCTCTGCGACGGCTTCATCGACTGCCCCGCGGGCGAGGATGAGGACCGGCAAGCGTGCATGTTCTACAAGACGGTAAGTTGCTTTCACTCGCCATCGCTCTCACTGCCATCGGCAAAATTTCATTTAAAATTTTACCAATGCTAGTTTTAATTAATTGTTATTCCAAGTTTTGTAAGTTTTTCCTAAATAGATTATTGTCCTTTAAATTTATTTTTCGAGAGTATTTTAACTTCTAGTTTTACCCGACCTAGTCTGTTGGTGATGGCAGTGGGTTGACGTGGCTCACCGCAGTCTGCGTTAGCGGCATGTCACCGGTGACCTTTCCACTAGAATGCTGGACAATAACGTACTCGTCGCGCAGCGGTTGCCTCTCATTTCATAACATTCGTGTCTGTGTGATGGGGAAGGGAGGGGAGGCAGGAGATCTGTGCGCCCCCTCCCTCCCTCCCTGTCCCACCGGCCCCACCAAACCCCCAATGGGTTTACCCCGTTTACAGTTAAGGGCCGATAGAGATCCCTGGCCGGAGCCTTGCACGACGTAAACGCACTGATTAAAATTAATTGACCTGGCCGTTGGCAATCCCCTCCCCCTAGAAGGGTAGCCTGAGAGAGTAGGGCACAGGACACATTATCACAATGTTCTCTCTGTTTGTTGCAGACAAAAGCGCACTTAGACCTGCTGGCGGACGCTCTCTTGCGCTGGGCGAGAGGGCGCTAGCCGCTTCACCCCGTTACCTCTACTCTGCCTTCTGCCTGTAGGGGGCGACTGTTGCCGCATCGAGAGAGCGACAGAGAGTGTGTTGTGTGGAGTGACGCGAAGTGACCCGAAGTGACAGAGACCAGCCAGCGCAGCGGCGCGTCGCGGCAACACAGCCTTCAGTCTTCAGTTGTAGTCTTCCCGTTCAGCAGCCGTCGCGCAGGACCTCAGCCCAGGCCAAGCTTGCTCCTCACCCCTCCAGTCGCAACCATGTCGTCAGGGAATTCGACAACGGCTCCTTGCTTCCGATTAGCAACCTAAACAGTGATGAATGATATAACATGCGGATGAGTCCCTTTCTATCACTTTGAAAACGAGTGTGGCCAATATGCTTTTAACTGGATCAAGTGACTGTCGTGGTTTCGTTAACAGACTAAATTGTATAGGGTCTTCCTACTGCTGCTGGAGTTTGGGCCACGTGACGGCAAGTTGGCCATTTGCAAGATGTCAACTGCAAGCCCCCCTTAACACCTACAGTAAAAGGGTGAGACAGGAATTTGTTTCGCATCAGCGTATCTGTATGTTGCAAATGATATATTTTAGACTGCGTTTACGTCTAGGGGGAATGGAATTAATTGAAGAAAAGAAACCGAGTTTCACTAATGCATTGAAGCTGAATCTATGTTTATTCATCTAGTTCCCGAACGGTGCATGGAAGCGTTAGTTTCGAAATGCCAAATTGAGCGGCTGCATATTTATTCAGTACCTGATAGTATTTCTGAATAGTATAGTTAAAACACATTTGCACACCTTAGGGATATATAGGATCAAGTCTTACTCTCTCTCTATCTCTCTCTTGCTTTGTTGATCCCACTATAAATCTGTTATTAACATCGTAGGTTTATGCAAAAGTTGTCGTCTAGAGAGGGGGTGACCATTCGAGGCGCATCTTGCTGTCAATCCCAGTCAGTTGGGATTTGATTAGACTCGAATACTAGGAATGCAAGAAAACCAGTTGTAATATGGTCGTGAAAACAATACACAGAACTTATTCTACTCTCCACCTGCAAGTAATCTGCAGTGTGCTTGTCCGCCGTACTTGGCTCTCAGTGCGGAGGTTGTGCGTGTTGTCATGAGCTTCATTTGGTTTACTGGTGCCGATCAAAGTTCTGTGAGCATATTGTATATTCGTAAGCACCATTTTGGCTGCGCCACTTGACTGAGCTGTGAAGGAAGGTAACAGAGGATCGCATTTAATATTGGGCATCCCTCAGCCCGCAAAAAACACCACCATTGACTACATTTATTGATACGCGGTTACCCTTATCTACTTACTGAAATTCCCTCGCAGTAGTTTAACCGTACTTAGTTAACCAGTATTGCACCACAGTAACTGTTAGATTATTGAATAACGTTAACTGTGGGGGTCGCAGTGTAAATTAATTGTTGTCTCTTATACTCATTTTATTGTTTATTTCATGACGTTATTAACGCTGTGTTATACTCTTACTTCGAACATGTTGACAGCTCTAGCAATTACATTACTACTTCCAGTATGCACCCAACTTTTCTCCTCATTCCCTCGTCTGTCTTGCGATATTAATCTTCTACCAGACTGTATATTTGCTTTCCGATTTCCTGATAGGAAAATGGTTGTGGTTCAGTTTAAGAAAAATGCTTGAATGTGAAGCTTCCTCTCTTACTTCCTCGAAAGATTTTACGCAGCTAATGGCAAACTACATTATTGGTCGTCATCAAAATGTGTTCTAAGTTTAATTCAATGAATGCTTTGTAATTGCATCATCTTCATAATGTTTAAGTGACGAGACACTGTAAAGGGTGTATTCCGTGAGAAGGAAACTCAATAGCAATATTTATAATCATATCAAGACTATCTCGCCATCACTGTTGCTTATTGTTTAAGTAAATTTTTGAAATTGTGCACCCAACGAGTGTGTTTCAAGCTATTATTGTTTTATTTTAGAATTTGTTTATGTGATAACTTAAATGACGAATTTTCTGAGGTACGCAAGTTATATTACGGCCTATGTATCTAAACAAACAGTTGGCAGCAAGAAATGTTTTACTAATAGAGCACACGACTTCTTTCACAAGCATTGCATCTACAGTAGATGCGCCAATTTTGTAATGCACATAAATATTCGTGGGAAACATAACTCATTTTCGATGCATTTATGCCCATTTTTGCGCATTGATACACAATTGATGCTCTTGCGGTGCTTCTAGAGTGGTCTAAACTCGGAAAGTATGTTGGCTCATTGGAGATGATCTCTGGATTAATACAGACTTGTCTGAGCACGAACGATCAAGGGTGTACAATTATGTACGGGAAAGATAAACTTTAATCTGCTAATTTGCTCGGTTGAAAATCTGGAAAATTTAGACTTAGTAGCAATGTAGATTTGAAACACTCATATATGTCACATATATTTTTCTGTGAGAAGCAAAATTTATTTTTGAGACAACTGTAAAAATGCAATGCACTTTTATTTTGAGTAAAATAGACTTTTTAGCCGGGGTCTCCGCGTACAGGTCAATCTCTGTCTTTGATTGTATTGCCCCACTTACGAAATCGTAAAACTCTGCCTAAAACATGTTGGCCAGAAAGCTTATGTCTGTGTACGAAAACAGGTTTTAGTAGTGTATATGGCTGTTGCATCCAGATGGCCCTAGTCTGTAGCATTTAATGGTCGTTTTAGGTCTCCATGAGTGTTTGCAATATCTACGTGATGATGCTGTTTTGCGGTGTAGTTTTTTCCGAAAATGTATCCGAGTCTATAACAGTGAAGTGGTCAGTAAGTGTTCAGGTCGCGAAAAAGTTTAATGTGGTTCGTCACGTGATAAAGCTCAACGATGCAGGTCCAAAAGAACGAATTCGCATATTTATAATATAACCTTTCTATAAATATACATAATATTATCC